ACATGAAGTCTCACTGTATTGGAAATTTGCAAAGCAAGAGCGCTTACAGTTCGGTGCTTTGAACAAAAAAAAAAGGCCTAAAAAAAGGGGTATTTTTTTAAAAGCTCTCTCTCTTTCTTGGAATGGAAGGAAAGGCAGACATTAATAATAATAATTGTAATAACTTTCGAAAAAGTTACTAAGCATTCATTTAAGTAATGAAAAAATTGTCACTTTCAAAAATATTGAAAAATCGCTATACCACAATCACTCTCGGAAGACTTCACTAATCTAAAGCTTTCAATTGGTTTCAAATATGCAATAAAAAAAAAACCTCAAATTAAAAAGTCCTTGAAGCTAGAATAATACGTACGATATATTAAGAATATTAATTTTTGTGTGATCAGTGAATATTTGATTGCAAAAGTTCAACGTTCGATCACGAGAGACACAAGCTTTTTTGCAAGTACTTCTCTTTAGAATGTTACTTTAACAATTTGGATTAAAAATGTGAAAATTGTCTGAGTTATGCTGCTTGGAAAATCGTATCTCGTATCAAACATCAAGATATGTATAACTACAAAGTCGAATTCATAACCAGGGCTAAGCATTTAATATCAAACTTTTAATTCCTTGCGAAGAGCACGTTTACCTTTCGAGCCCCGAATCAAGTTGATTTCTATTACAACGACCGTCTCAAGGAAGCGACGCTGACGTGTTTTTGTTTGTAAATGATTTAAATGATTTAGTGGATTAGAGAAGCTGGCTGAGACTAGGGCAGACATTATGCTGCATTTTGCCAACAATTATTATTCTTTTTGAAGCGCTTTGCGAATGAAGTTCTCAAAGTCTGAAACAAAATAAAAATTCTTTCACATAATGAATTTTTATCACATATGCCTTGAAGCCAATAAAAGAAGAAATTTTTCTGAAAAATTGTACAATGGTGAGCATCTGGTTAGCATCTCTCCCTATATTGCATCTCTCCTTAGTTGCATTTGCAACTGCCAGAGGGAAGTTTGAGAGACCCTGTATATAATACCCTTGATCAGTATCATATTATGGATCGATTTAAGCATGTCCATCTGTCCATCCGCTTAATGTTTGTAATGGGAATTCCCTTGATCGCAAAAATTAATATATCGGGATATATCTTGTTACAAGTTACAGCAGATGAAAATACCTAAAAATTTCCTCGGACGGTCTATGGATAACACCATACTACACAAATGAAAAAATTGGTCATGCCGACTCAATGTTAGATAATATCGGAAATTCCCATCCTTTTTGGAAAAGAAAAGAAGGCCGTTAAAGTCTTATTTTTATTATAATACTGAGGTTTTTTAATTTAATTTGTTTTTGTAAAGGTAAACTTTAAAAATAACTTGTTAAATATAATAATTATAAGCCAAATGACATACATAACATTACATCTTTGACTTTGGGTAGGGTGACATAATTGCTGAACAAATTCTCAAAGAAAATAAAAGCAAAAAAAAAAAAAAACAAAATGAAAAATTTACAGGCAACTTCAACAACAAGAACGTTAAAGTGTTTTGTGCCATTACAAGCACAAAGCAGCCAATATTTTAATAAATTCATTCACATGCTAGAGCCCTTTACCTGCCTGCCTTCATCAATTCCGTTGTTTTCCGTGTGCTTGCGTAAGAAAGACTTTCTTAACACGCTTTTCTTGCTTTCAACTCTCTTGCTTTCTATAACTCCTCGACCCCATACCTCTCTCGTTTTCTGTCTTTCCTTGTTATTTGACTATATATATATATATATATATATGCCAACAACAATTTTAGTGCTAATTAATTCAACTAATGCAATTAAACAATTTCTGTACACTCGATTGTTTTGTTTATACGTTAATTGAACAAAGCAACCACAAACAACACTACAAACCAATGATTATGATTTACATGCATTCATTAACTATATTCATACATGCATGAAAATATGTATATATATTTATATATGTATATATATAAGTAAACATACGTTCTTGTTTAGCTAGGCAAATGTCAGCATGTGAAGGCGTTTGTATAACCATAGGTATAGGTGGAGCCCACAGTGAATAACCAATGCATGTGAGCTAGCGTTTGTGTGGTAATAATATATGGTTGTAATATATTGTAGCCACAGACGTTGTTGTTATTGCTATTGTTGTTGCTATGTAATACTTCATAACTACATATATATTCGCTATACATATGGCAGGTGTCATTACAGATACAGGACATGTCAATATGGACACAAAACTTGTCAGCAACCATATTGCATTAACATTAGTTGATTAGTTATGTTATCTGCGTTTGACAGAATATCTAATGTTTGTTATAAATTTTGCACGCATTCAATTGTGTGTGTGCTTATGTATGCCTGTGCAAATGGAAATATGCGTGTGTCTATTATTAGATGACATCATGCGGTTGAAATATGACTACTGTTTGTGGATAGATACCATATAGCCAAGCACATCTATCTCATCATATTCTGACCTCATTTACTATAATATTTCAAGATATTTTCTTTTCAGGTTCACAAAGCAAGAGCAAGCCAGTTTAAATATCTAACTGTGTTTACTTGCTTATTTATTGACTTCATGTTGGACACAAACGCAAAAAAAAAGCAAGAAGAAGAGAAAAAAAGATAACAAATCCTTTATATATGTTTTACACAGTGAATGATTCCTTTAAAGTTCTCCCCAATTTGACCTCTTTTCGCAAACCCTTGAAATGCTAGATTCATAAAACTATGTAACTGTGCAGAGCATAAAAACCATAATGAGTTCAACCACCATTTGTGTTTCTATATATGCAAGTCTTTGCAAACGGCACAAAGTGTTTTACTTTAACAATTTTTTTTTTTTTTTGTTTGTGTGTTTTTTTTTTCTTTTTTTTTTTTTTTTAATAAAAATTTCATTTAGTATATGCCGTTGAATGCTTTCGTCGGCACACATTCCGGCTTACGGCCGTTATATATGGCATTGTGCATGAACATGCACATACGTCTGTGGACGACCAGCAGCTTATCCTTTAGTGGCACAAAACTTTTGTGAAGGTCAGCAATCTCAATTGCGGTAGTTGCTGCTTTTATTGTTGTTGTTGTTTTTGTTGTTGCGGGTGTTGCCGGTGTTAGTGCTTTTGGCAATGCAGCCCTGCATTCGTTAATATTTAACAACTGTTTGGTTTTTGTGAACGTTCAACAAGAGAGAAATGAAATAGAGTCAGTCGGCTGTTGCAAGTTGTTAAAACTTTTGTGTTTAAAATTGCTTAACGTTATTACCGCAACAATTGCTGTCTACTGGTTTTGTAGCGGGGTTTCATTTAATGTTCCTTCTCATACGCAATTGACACACCGATATTTGCGTACGTATATATATATATATGTGTGTGTGTGTGTGTGTGTGCGTACCTATACGAGCGCTATATCACATTGTGATAACAATTAGCTGTTTAGTGATTACCCCATTTATCAATAATTATTGGTAGCATGATTGCGGCAATGTTATTGTAGTCTTCTTCCCATCAATTCGATTTGCAGAGAAAAAGCGTAGTAAAATTTAGCCAAATTTCTTCACAATTTCTACGTCAAGTCAGCAGCATATTCTACTGTCGATATGATTTTGGGACACTTTTGGCAACTTGTAGCGGCCACATCCCTGTCTGACCATCACCGTATAGAGAGGATACTCTCGAGTCATAGATCATTTCTAAAAACAAAAAAAAAAAATCCAATCCATCTGAATTTTTTAACTTCCGAAAGATTACACGGCGATATACCTTGATTAGAAGCGTTATTTATTTATTTGGATTAAACTTGTCTTCGAGGGGTTCTGCCCGCTTTCCATGTTAGACGCTAGATACCAGATTAGACCTTTCGATCCTAAACATTTTTCATCTCCATTTCAAGGAATAATATAAATATCGGGATAATTATGCATTGCAGGTGTGTGTGTCGCTCAAGCTTTAAAAAAAATGCAATTTTTATTCAATATTTTATTTTAGAAGAAAAAAGAAGACAAGACTGCTGACTATATGATGCAGTCTTAGATTCAAAGAAGGTATTACGCTGATCCTGTCACGGCTGGAAGAAGCTTGATATTGACTTTTATAAGCTTTTCATAGGGACAAGAAAGGGTTTCTTTCAATTGGATAAAGAACTCACGGCATTGGCTGATAAATTTGAAAACTATGTTCGATGAGTGCCGCTACCAGTAGCAGTTAGTTTCTCCTCAAACTTGTGCAAGACAAACTTGCAGCGTAGTGTGCGCGCTACTCCTCCTCCGCCTTCGCATAAATCTCATACGGCTAATGAAAAATCAAAATTTTTTTCTTGAATGCTTGTGTTTATAACTTAAGTAGGTAACAACATTCTATCGCTTTGTTACTCTAATGAAGCAGAAGTTTCGGTTTGGCTTCGTCTCTTCAATGCACTCGACGCACTAGTGGTCGTGGCTAGCTTCGATAATAAGCAGAATTCACATTTCTGATGAAAATTGTCGCGAAGCGTAAAGCAAAAACGAAAACTTGCAAAAGCAAGATAAGCAAAACAAATGAACACCTAAGCTATATGCAGCGGCAATGCAAACGTGCAATTTGGCAAAGGGATAATAATGGCTTCGTGCTAGATCTGCAAAATATGATGGGTAAGGCAACAATTAAGATAGAATTTCAATTCAATTCTATGCGTTTCTTTTGTTTCTTTAATGTCATTCGCCCTATTCGGGCAACACGGTGTCACCCGCGCGCCGCAAGTGCTACAGAATGCAAAAATTTTTCAAAAAATTTAGTTCTTAAGAAGATTTGCTAAAGTGATTTTTCCGAAAAGCTTTAAAAGTTTTTTTATTTAACTTATATAATAAAAGTATGATAAATAAAAAAAATTCTTTCTAAGTTAAGCATCATGTTTTTCGCCCTTTTGCACTTCCAGAACACTGAAATCCATGATGACCGAAACAATAACCACGAATACAGACGGGCGCATACGAACGAAGTTTGAAAAATATCGGCCTATCTATCGTACGATTCCTTTATATTATTTAGGATCTCAGCTCCCTCATCGACGTTGAAATATTTGCGCAAAGTTTCAATCTTATCTTTGCTGAATCCTTGACTGATCAGTTTCTGCTCTGCTTCGCCAATCAAATCATGAACGGATTCGAGCATATCGGTGCTTTCCAGCAATTTATTGGTCACATATTGAAAACGATATTTAAGTTTGGCTTTTTTGATTCTCCTACTGACGCGAAAATAACGGAATGCTTTAGCGCGTTCTTTTTGACGTTGTTGCACGAAATCATCGTCTGGATTGATCTTTATATCGGATAAATTATCTCTTCTCCGCAAGTCACGCCGTAAACTTTCATTGTATTTGGATTCGTCTTCAAGCATATTTTCAACGTAGTTTGCTTCACGAATTTTCCAGTTGAAACGAATGCGTTCTATTTCCCTTTCAACAGCTTCGTTAACAAGTCGTTTCTCTATTTCGTTTCCGGAATTTGACATTTTCGATTCAAATTTTCCGTTCTTCAAATCAATTTTCTTTATTTCGTCGATCTAATAATAACTTTTACACAAAGGGATCTTAGCGTGGTAAAGAATATTATTGAACTGCGTTAAAAAAAGGGATTTTACCTCATTAAATACTGCTTAGTATCATTGAAATCTTTTACCAGTTCATAGGGGACTGGCCCAGTCTTTCATCAATTTCATAATTTTTGCCTATTCAACCCAACAATAGATAACATGTTCAATAAATTTTATTTCCTTCCTAGTTAAAAAAAATATAATTCTATACATTTTCAATTGTTATGTTCTTAGGGGTTTTTGCATATTTTATACCTGTTTAGGGCAAATACGTTACTTTTCACTTGAATTTATTTCAATTTTGTTGATTAATAGCTCTATACTTTTACCGCATACCTAATCCTTAACTTATACCTAATTCAATTTCGTTTAGTGACCTGCAAGTAGACAAGGTTTTCTGTGGAAATTTAACCTAAATTCAAGTTACAATAAATATATACAAATAAATTTACTGTCATCGTTCTGTAAAGTATTAAGCGTAGCTATTTCTGCATCCATTCGGATTAAGCAATCTCGTCCTCGAAGCGATTGCTCGCCATGGTTCTGCTTATGACTATTTCGCCTAGTCTGCTGCAAGGCACAAAATTAATTATCCCAATCATCAAAGTTATTGCAGATACGTTCAGTTGCTTACTAATTCCTTATTATTTTTATAAGATCAAAATTCCACAAGAATAGTCTCCATATGGAGACTCGCAATTTCCTTAAATCGCTTTGCGTTCTTTTGCCAGATCTTAATGTACATGTTGACGATATTAACTTCAAATTGACTTAAATAATCTGGTTACATTATACTCGTTCAATTTTATACAATTAAATGTAAAAAAATGCGAGAAGCATTCAATAATTAGTATTTCATTGATTCACACAAGTTGGAAAACGTAGATTAGTTCATTGACTTAGTGGGTTTTATTCGACCAAAGATTGCATTTTAATTCGCACATTGAGCTCTCTTTAAGCAAAGCTATATCCTAGCATGGTTACCCTAAAAGGTCGTCCAACTAACTGAAGGGTTCATACATTACAAAAACATGAGCTATGTTGTGTGGTCCCCTTCCTATAAATGTTATGGAAATTCTATTGAATCCGCTCAAAAGGAATTCTTGCTATTTGGCCTTAGGAATTTGGGTTTGGACCCGCTTGTGTCTCTGCCTCCTTATGAAAGTAGGTTGCTGTTGTTATCCTTACCGTCACTTAAGAAATGTTAATTTATTCTTGGTGTTTCTTTTCTAATTAAGTTAATAAATGGTTCTGTCGATTCGACTAAATTACTCATTGGGATCAATTTAAATGTGATGTTTTCAATCCGTTCGGAGCCATTCGCACAAACCTAAACGATATCTATCACTTAATGACTTTGACGTTGATGTCTAGCTAGCAATCTTAACATCTCACTATATTTCGCAAATTAACTTATGTTGTTTAGTTGTGTGTTATCGTTTGCCAAGCTTATGCAATTTTTGCAATGCAGCTCGCATCTGTACCGGATGCGGGTGTGCCTCTGTGCTAGATGTTTATATGTTTTTTTTTTCTTTTTGTATCTTTTTTTTTCTCCGCTATCTATTTTTACATGCATATTATTCTTCCTCTTGTTTTTTTCTCTTTACTTCTCTTCGCATAATTTGTATTAGCTTTTAATAGTAATTAGTACAAGATTTACTTTGAAGAGTCAATTCAATTCGGCTGCTTATTTATTTTAGCTGAGTTTCATGTGTAAGTAAATAAATATAAAATGAAAAAAATATATATATATATATATACTTTTCAAGAAGTTCATATCAATTACACTGTTGCGTTTGCTTTCAATTCATGTAAATCGCTTACGACCTCAACTACGCGGCATTACTAACTATTTGACCTTTTGGCCATTGACGTTGCCTTGCACACGACATCAGTTGGCAAATATCAAGCGTATGCAATTTTTATTCGTCCACTTGTAATGTCTCTACCTTGTTAGGAAAAATGTTTTTTTGCAAATTTAGAATTTGTTTGATTTATTTTGGCCCCAAAAGCAATTACATACACATTTGTATATAAATATATTCTATTGCTCTATTGCTAATATATCGCTTACGAAAGTAAATTAGATCCACAGTTAGGATGGACACATTGACAGCACTTTCGCTCATTTCAGTTTATTTTCATAACCTATGATACTCATATTACTGTTTGAAAACATTTTGAGACCGAAATGTCCAAACATGACATGAACGACTTAATATCAAAAAGCAGTGCAATGACACTTTTCTATGGACAGAAAAAATTCCAAATTTTAAAATTTATTATAGTTACGGACTGGTAAACAACTTTGTCCCTCTCAAAAACATGATTTAATAGGTTTAAGGTTAAAGCGCCGACAAATCTCCTAAGATAGGTAGCTCATAAGCATCAAGTTTTTAAGCGATGCAAATGGTGAGAAATTATCTCCATTACTAGCTTCCACTCTCGACGCATTTTTTAAACATTTGATGGCCAACATGATTCAAAGGACTTTGAATGCCATTTTTCCGCCAATTCCTAGGGGGCAATTTATTTTACATGATCTTTTCGCCGAGTAGTGGTGACCAAATTTCTAGTTAGCGGAATTAATATAATTCAACTTTACGGCCGATCTTAATAGGGAAGACCTCTTTACCTCCTACGCGGACAACTTATATTGTTGGGTAAATCTAAAATATATTACTTTCACATTGAGAAGTCAAAATTTGACATAAATAGCGCCCTCTTTGGTTTGTTGCATTATAAATTTCGGTCCATTGTCGTCCGTGATGAGTGCATATATAGTATGTATGTTATCAAGGTAACATTTCAAATATGAAAATACACTTGAAAGGCTATAGTAGTAGATTTTTGTGAATTCACTACTCGGCTCTAATGTTATTACATATAATTGTTTGCTTGGACTTATGTGTCCGCATTGTTAATCAGCGGAATACAATCGGTTTAGTCATTCTCAGTTTGTCAACAAATTTTTTTTGTCAAAATCAAAAATTTCAGAACATTCCACTACAAACGACAAACAAAGAAAGTCAATTATGATATATCTATATTTATATATAAATATGTGTTGTTTATATATATTATATAAATCGAATCTAAAATACATTGAGTATATTACGTATATCGGGGAAATGGATCTTTGCTCAATTTTACAGAGATTATTCGCAACAAATACTATTTGATGTCACAAGCGACATGATGGCGTTGTTTTAAGACACGATATTCCAATTTACAAATGGGTACAATTTTTCGGAGAATACTACGCTGCGTTTAGAATGTTTAAGACGATCAACGGCAATTATGGACTTCAACCAAATTCGCTTTGAATAAAAGAAAAATGTGTAATAAAAAAATGCGAAAATATCTCTTAAAATATTTTTTTTACACACAACTTATGTATGTGGGTACAACGTGCCAAAAAAATCTTGAATATTCTAAAGTAAAATTTCTTTCTATTAAATTGTAGTCATATCCGCATTACAAAATTCTTAAACAAAAATATGTTCAATGCGTTTGTCACCCCTTTGCTACTGATTACATCGTTTTGCAAGCTTGACTTGCAAAAGCCTTCTTTTATTTCGCAAGTCGTCTTCACAATATTTGTTGGCATTAATAGGCTGAAGTGCGTACGAATTGCTTGTTTGGCTCTCGTTCAGCACAAAGTCATTAAAAGCAATCATTAAAGATTCGTGCCAAGCAGCAAATGTTTCTCTCAATTTTTCAGATTTTTGGAATTTTTAAAACCCATTGGCACTATAAAGAAAGATAATATAAAATTTTGAATAGCCCTTTTAAACGCCAAGCAGTATTTTAATGCAATAACCACAACTTGTGCCCCTAAGAATATCAATTAAAATCGAATTTTTTTTTTTTTCTCTTTTCATTGCTCGTAAGTTTGACATCAACTCATTTAAAATTTTTGTAGCAGTTTTCTGAATTTCAAATTCCAGAGACGAGAGAGATTCTAATGAAAACAAACATGTTATCTAGGAAATTGAGTATAGGCTGACGAACAGCTATACCGTGCAAAGATGACATGTAGATGCATGCAATCAGAAATCCGTACCACTTAATTCATACATTATAACGAAAACTATAAAAATTCAAAATCAGAAATGTCATTTACTGATGTCTATAAGTGTGTATATGTGTTTATATGTAAGCCAATCCAATTAACATATGAACAACAATCATATATACATCATTGACATACATACATACATATATATATATATACAGATGGCACACATGAATTTCTGCGGTCGAACCTATATAATACAATACTTAACAATATTATGAGTGCACGCATTGTTGCCTCCTGCCTTAGCAGGCAAACAAACATTTTATTATGATAGAGTGAGGTGCATATAGACCCTATACTATAGTATAGTATACTATTATCATTGATGCGGTAGACGTGAATGGAATGGACCCATAACATTAAGAGCCATTTTCTATGGTAGCCGAACGAACAATGAAAATTGATGCATTGCTGTGCTGTTGCTCCATGTTGCTCATAAGTACACAATCAATGCATACACAGATGCATTTGCATATATATGTAGGTATGTGCGCAAAATGCACAAACACAAATCTGCAATCACAACAAACATTTCAAAATTGCCATCAATTTTATGTTCACACGCGGTGCCCATAAACGCATGCACACATACATACATACGCATATAAGTATGCATTGTTTTTTTTTTTTTTTTTTTTCCCCCAACTTCCTGAATGTTCACGCACACGGCGCAACAAAAACTGCGCTTTAACTTCGTAACGTTACTACGGACTTGTTTATGCGATTGCAGTGAAGGACGAGAAGTAGAATAAGTAGTAAGGCACACAGGTGTTGTAGGCTGTTTTGTTTTGTTTTCTATTATTGTTCTGTTGTGTTGTGCTGTGTTGTGTTGTGTTGT